AAAGAAAGAAAGCTACTTTCCCAGGCTTTCCCAGCTCTGATTGTTAAACTAAGCTGAAGAGCTTTATGAGAATCATAACACTTCAGGCCTATTTTTAGTGTTCTGTGTATGCCTCCTTTGACAAAATAAAGAGCTTGCATTTTCTCTCACATGGTTTTTAATATGCAGGTTTCAGCTCTGAAATTCTTCAGATTCCTGGTTAGTGTACGACTCCAACTCATTATTCTGTGTACTTTTCAGGTACTCTGACGTATGTAAAGTGATCAAATATCAGTGAGCCAGGTCTTGTTTCGCCATCATGCTGTGTGTCTGCTGCAAGTAACCAAAGTATTAAGTTCAGTCATCCTGACCCTGCATGCACACAAGTTAAACGTGGTAGAATAATATTTGCTCTGATACATATAATATGGCATATTGCTATATTTTAATATAGTTCTCATATATGATTAAAGCGCTCCAAGCGGGACCTTTTTAGCATAAGGTCAGGATTAAAAGGAGTGGCACACGGAGGCTTGCACCAGCGCAAACAGATAACAGCAGATTACCTGTTCCTGCTGTTGTTATGGCATCCTGCAGCACACTCCTGATCACACCTAGGTAATGAATAACTGAATGAACCGAGCTCCCCAAGTGCAGCACCTCCAGAGCCTTGTAAACATCTTTAAAGCAACCAATCACCCAGGCATGAAACTGTACAAATAGTTGCCTTCTGTGCCAGCAATCAACAGAGCAGTATTTCAAACAACCTAGATATTGATTTTAACTTGAGTTTGGACTGGTTAATTGCTTCATAAATTAAAAAGAAAAAGCAGCGAAAAGCAGAAGTAGCTCTCAACAGAGAGGAAAAGGAAGTGGCAAAAGGACATGAAAATCAGGAAATCCAATTCCTCCTAAAGTTGAGGTTAAGGTGAAGCAATCTATTTTAGGAAGAATTTGCATTAAATTTGATGTAATAACTTGAAACTTTTAATATGGTTGCATTGGTCCCTAAACACCAGCAGAAAACATTCTGGATAGTCTTTTAAAGAAAGTTTTCACTATTTAGTTATTTACAGTACACAAAGAGGGGGCAGATGCACAAAACAATCAATTTTTTGCCTCTGTATATATAATACATTCTTACAAATGTAATCTCAAATACGCTGGTTGACGATAGGATGTTGAGGTTGACTCACTAAACGCACCCCTGGGTATTTATGAACACAACTTTGATGACTCAAACGTGATGTGTGTCAAAGTTAGTAGTGAAAACCTGAGAGGCTGCAAACAAGACTATTAATGCAACATATTTGAATATGGCAGTAAAGCCCCAAATCTCTATTAGATAGTTACTGTCAAATTAAAACCCACAGCATGAAGCTAACCTAGAATAAGGCAACTAAACTCCATGCAAGGCTCTGTATACAGCCTGCTCTTTAGTTATATAGGACGCACAACCACACATTTGCATTAACATTTCCTTTAAAAACAGGGTTTCTTCCTTTAATGACCACAACCTCGCAGTAGTTTGTAATAATCAGTCTAGTGATCAGCGTTACTGCGCACAGTCCAGTTGTGTAATTACACTTTTAATCAGTATCGCGTGTAGCCAGAGGACGTCTTACCGTGCTCTCTGTTGATCTGCCGCCACCGCCGTGACTCCGGTGCGCTTTCTGACCGTGGGACAGTGAGCGATCTTCAGCTAAAACAGCCAAAGAGCCTGCGCTTCATTGTCAAGATAGTTCACGTCCCTCTGAAACTTTCCCCGACTACGCATCTACCCCGGAAATCAGCACATCCACGCCTAGAGGTTTCCGATAGAAGCACTCAAACTGAAATGAGAGGCGTCGGCAAGAAGCTGCTCTCTCAGCATAAAAACATCAAATCGGTTTTTAATGGTAAGGTTTAATAGTGACCTCTCTCTTTTCCCCCGTATCCGAGTTGTCACAGTAGCCTACATAGATTAGTAAAAGATAAACACTAAGGAGTATTAGCCTGTATTACTAAGTTAACCCAACATTAACTAAGCATTTTGGTTATGCTGAACTTGCCAGAGCAATGATATCAATATAACTGGTGATAAATTAACTAAGCTCGTGTAACAATGTGTCAAAAGTTCAAACAACCACCAAAATGTATGCTTGTTCTTCTAACGTCATAAACTTTAAAATCCCAATTCAAAAGTTTGAATTTTTAAAATGTAATTATTATTATTATTATTATTATTATTATTATTATTATTATTATTATTATTAATAATAATATTAATAAGTACTCTTTATATCAGCTTTACTCACCTTGAAACACTTTGGTGTAACAACTAGAACAGTTCCAGCATTTTTTCCTCCCAGTAGTCCTCATATTGTATTTTACTTCAGCGATACATGTACATCATGTTGTATCAATTGTTAACATGCAGAGTTAAAAAAATGTACACATTCGCACAACATTGAACTTCTGAATATATGACCTTTGACTGTTAACCGATATCTCTGTTCATTTTGAAGCCTTGACAAACCCCTGGAAAGGGTATGAACTACATTAGGCTCTATGGATTTTTATCTTATCTTTTATTTTATTTTTATTTACTTTTTTAGCATGACAGACCAGATACAAACCAGAAATTTGTATAAAGAATGTAACTGCATATGATGATTGAGAAAGCAGGTTTAACAGTGACACCCAAAGGAGGTCGCAGTAAACAGCTAGAAGCATACATCCAAAATAAAACCACACAAGCTGAAACTGCAGTACTCCTTACCAACGACTTTAATCAGCAAAAGAAAGTTTCTGAGTTAGACTCCATCATCTGTAGGGAGTTTCCATATTCTCTCTGTGTGGGCTCTCTTCAGGTACTTTGGCTTCCTCCCACAGTCCAAAGACAGGCAGTTAGTGGGGTTAGGTTAGTTTGTGACTCTAAATTGAATGGTTGTCTATTTGTTGTTTGTTTGTTTTTAAGCTTTGTGGCATTCATGTCATAAATGATAAGTGTGACTGATACTCACTGAGCAGGTATTCCACTTTATGTGGGTCTCCACAGCATTTGCACCTCATCACCCGTCCCTATGTTCAACAGAGAAAGTCTCCATGAAGTCTCACATATGGAGAGTTCTTTGGAATATAATTAAACAAAAGGAAGTGCATATACAATATAATAAAAGTAATTATGCGCCTTTATTATGATGATATTGCTATAATACCTCAATTTTTAAAAATAATAATTACATGAAGTGGCGGGGGAAGTAGCACACAAGAGCCCAAAGAGAAACATGACTCAAAAAGAAATGTGCTCATATACAGATGCGTAACTGCTTAAACCAAAATATTACCAAACAGAAAAGCAGCCGAAATAACGAAGAACGCTCTTAGTTTATAAGAGCTGTCATACTTGTTTTTCACATGCTAAAAATCTACCCTGCACAGTTTGTACATGTTTCTTAAAAAATTAAGACCACATCTCAGCATAAGTAACCCACAGTGTCCCACACAAACACACTCTTTGTCCCACATGTACTTCTTTAGGGATGTGGTCACTCTAGACTTAAAATAATTGCCCAGAACCGCTGGATGAGAGTATGGCTCAGTGATGAAATCTGTACTTTACTAAAATCCCTTTTTAAATATTTAAATACACATATATTTTGGTATCAAGTGTTGTAATTTGAGCTCCATACCATGTATTATTTAGCAAGTTTCAAAATAAATATAAATATGTAATATAAGATTAACAGCATGCAACACTAAAGTGATAAACACAGGAGTGAATCAGTAATTCTGACAAAGGCTGTTCTCAAGTTTGAGTACTTGAGATTACATTTAAACATATTATGATATGTATTAACATATAATATAGATGTATCTGTATTAGGAATGCCATGAGCTCTTTTTCAGTACCACTTTTCACATGATAGAACTGTATTAGTACTGCACACAGCCTGAAAATTGTGCCCATTGTCTTTTTTTTTTTTTTTACGAAAGTTATCGATATTCAATTTATTTATGATTACATTTTCAGATTCCCTGTGGACTGCTTTGTTGTTTGTCTCCCTGGAAACGCCCCTGATTGCTGCAGAAGTATGAATATTGAACGCTGTAATGGTGCCACTGTGCTCTGTTCTCGAAGCAACTCCAGTGTTGACCGGCAGGCGGAGCTCTCGGTCCATTCACTCCCATGGCAGCAGCAGGGCATCGTTATTTCTAAGGGTTTTTTTTCTCCCCCCTTCGTGGGATACAGACCGCTATTCTCAGATCCTGGAGCCTCAATCAAACAAGTGTGGCCCTCTGAAAAGCACCGTGGAAGCAGCGACCAGGACACGCACTTCAAGAGGGAGGACTGAGTGGACTGCAAGCACATTTTGGTGTCATTTTTGCCCACGGAAGCCAACTCAGTAAGTAAAACTGCAATGAACTTTTTGGTTTTTTTTGGTCGTGTTTTCTACACATAACAGGTTGCTTTCGGAGAAACCACGTTGTCGGAGTACAAGCAGCAATGTGGGTGTTCAGCTCGTTTCCCCCTCCTTTATTTAATCGTGTTTTCCCTCTCTCCATCTGCTGTGGCATTGCTGCCAGTTACTGCTTGCTGTAAAGCCATGTAAAATGATTTGTGCTGGATTATAAAAAATGTTTTTGGTCATCTGTTGCAGAGACACTGGCTCCGTATTCTATCATTTTCACTGAGATTAGGTACTTCATTTATGAATAAAGGATTTGATGTAGCAAAATCCTTAAAGCCCCGAAAGTTACATATTGTAAAAGTTCATGTTGTGGATGTCTGAGTATTTCAAGTATAGAGATTGCAATCAAATGCTTTCCACCACATTTGTGTGTAGTGCAGCGGAAGTGTTAGTTATTCTGTGTGCATAGAAGAGGTTGCATGAGGCAGCTTGGTGTCAGACGCAAAACAAATTGCCTTTTTAAAATTGACAGAAACAGAGAAGACAGCACAATCTCTGCTGTCTGAAAACCTGCCACCACATCGATCGCCTTATTTTGATGTAATATTTTGAAGGTAATAGCTTCTATCTGTCAGCCGTTCAATTCTGAGCAGAATTAAAAACCTAATCCATGCTTTGGTGCTGCTGCCTGCTGGAATTACACATTTAAGTGCCCCCGTGACCTGCCTCAAGCTTCAATAGGAGCTTGGGAAGGCTGAGAGGTGTGAAGCTGTTTGGTGCTGGGACACCTCGCTCTAGCTGACACCGGTCCGGACACACTGGAGCATCTGAATGTCTGGTGACACCATGACTGAAGCGGAAGCCAATGTGATACTGACCACTGCGCTGACAGGAATCCTGCTGGTGGCAGTTATGGCACTGCTCTGCTACTTTACCTGCAGACTGGCTGGTTCAGTGCCACTGGGTGGACCTGGCAGAGTTTGAGTCTGTTAATGACCACTGGCCCGCAGCATCTGGGAAATGCTACATTATTATATCCACGATTTCTTGCCCGGTTGGTGTTGACATTTCTTTTTAGTTAACCTGGTATGTTCAGACTTACTTCTTATTTGGAGTCTGGGACAGATTCAATTTTAAGCTTATTTTTGGAGGTGATGAAATAATTGTAACTGAAGTAATTAGCCTCAGGTAAAGATTTTTGTGTCAAGAAATATTAATGTCGAGGTTTTCATTCAAGGGTGGACATGTGCAGTCAATCATTTGGTGTTAATCGGCTTTGTCATGGCTCTTAAACCTCTCAGTGCCATTGAGTGCAATCCCATTAAAATGACCTTGACTATAAGCGCAGAGAAGAAAGAAGAGGGTGTGTATAATTATAGCTGAAAGCCAGACTGGCCAGGACCCATAAGGGCCCCTGTTGTGACTACTTACATTCACAGCAAGGCCTGAAGCTTAACTTCTCCAAGCTCTTCTTTTGTTTTGCCTACAAAGTGTTCAGCGGCTGAAAGCTCCACTTTTGAGCAAGTCATATCAATAATGCAAAGACATATCATTTAAGTGGCTTAGATGAAATGAACACAGATGGTTGTATTCCTCTTGTGTCACCCCCACCCCCTCGCAGCCTCCTTTTTGCCTGTTTCTTTATTTGGGGAAACGTCTGTGACAGAAAGGACTTTTATCTCAACACTTTCTTGTTATAGAAGGGTGACCAAATGTTGAAAAGACTTGGCTTCATATCAGCTTGTCTTTATTGTAAAGATCAAGCAAAATAAGCAAATTCCGAGGTTCGGTTGAAAAATTAACCTGAGATTTTTTCTCTTGCTTAATGTCTGTATTCATTGCCTATAACTCCAGTCTCCACATAACACAGAAGAAAGACAAGTGTAGCTTGCAATTAACAACTGCACTTGGTCACTTTATCATGCAGTAAATAAATATTAAACCAGTATGTCAGAGTCAGTGTACGATTAAATGACACATGCAAAATTACTAGTTTGTGCCCTTGTTCTCTTGTAGCTGTGAGACGACTGCGGCCAGGCCTCTCCAGCTTCTCAAAGTGGCATGTGGTAACTGTCTAGAGTAACGTGTCACCCGCACACACTTGACAACAGGAAGATGACAGCCCTGCTAATCATTTGCTTTTGTCTGATTTTGGGGAGCTTGGGAAAACCACAATTCCCAGGTAAGTCACTGTGTTTGTAGTCAGCTGCTAAAAAAACCCAACAAATAGAACAACAGAAACAGTCTAATGGTTTGTAGTTTAACAGTAGGTGTCCACCACACACTAGGAAGGTTGAAAATCCTAAAAAGAAGCTTTTATATCAAGCTGTGTTTGGTTTAGTGTTGCCACAAAAAACAAGTAATTTTCTGGCTTTAATATTGCTTGAAAATGTTTTCATCTTAAATCCGATGATTATTGTTTTCAATAATGGATTGATAACTAGATAAAGATATTTGGTTGACTATCTTGAAAGAATAAAGAAATCCCCAAATATTTAAGCTGGAGAAGCTGGAACCAATGCACCTTTGGCATTTTGTACAGTGTCAATGCAAAATCTCAGCAGACCTGCATCTGGTGATTCCTAGGACTATCCGAATATAACCTGATTTGTTTATTGTAATACACAGAGCAAGAGAAAGATCCAAAGTTTTGGAACACATGGGCTCAGCGAACCTTGAAGAATGCTTTGACGCTGCAAGAGCTCAATAAAAACAAAGCAAAGAATCTCATCCTCTTCCTTGGAGATGGTAAGCGACACGTCATTACAGATTTGTGGCAAGATGTTAATAAAGTTACATCAATGCCTGCAGATGAAAGGTGAAATGCAACTGCGGCTACCAAAGCATTAGCTCTTCAATAGGCTCATCACCAAAGACTTGTGGTCAGCGCAGAGCCTTGACACTTTGATAGGGTAAAAGTAATTCCGTGTTGTAATTAGACTTGAACAATATTACAGAGGATTCAGTTGATCAGTAGAAGATGACTGAGATTTTTAACATTTTTTCCAATGAGTGAGGTGAATGAATAGGAGCAAACAAAGCAAGCGTGCTGCCACTGGATCACTGGGGTTCTGTTTGTGCTGGATTCCTCGCTGGTTGAACAAAAACTTTTATCCTCCATGGGGGCCTCTGCTTTCAGCCTCTCTGTTTGCTCTATGCGCACACCATGACATTCTTGCATGCTGCTGCATTCACAGTTATGTTTGCACAGTTATGTTTGAATAACAGAAAAATTAATAAAATGAAAAAAAAGTGTGTGCAATTGTTTAACTATTTAATGTTTCCCAAGAATTGAGATTACTGATTACTCTTTACCAGGAATATTACAGGATTCTGTTAAGTAACAACACTCAGCACCAAAGTCAGCTGTTTCCTCTGTGGACCTCTAAGCTAAGCTACATGCAGGGCAACCTTTGACATGAATCTGACTAATAAAACCAGACCTAAGGCTGAAGCATAATAATTAGTTTTGCTCTCTATGTACAAAACTATAAATGTGAGTTTTATGACAATGGTCTCGTATGTTGGAGTGTTTGAAATGATCAGTTAAGTGTTTTGAGTTCAGTTTTCTAACTGAAAATGTAAAAGATTCATCAAAATGCATTAGGAGTTATCCATGGATTCAACACTGGCATGCTATTTAGTATGTGAAACAGCATAAGAAACTTGTTAATGTGTTAAAACTTAGTATGCACCCAACATCTTGCTTTGTGCTTACTATTCCCAGGGGAATATTAAGACTTGCATGTACTGGACTGTGCTGAAATTAGTGTCCCAAAAGGCACTGCAGTGCTGAGCATGTTTAAGTACATGGTCCCACTGCGCAACTCTCTCGATTTGATGTGAATGCATAAAGAAATGTGTCTGGAAAGGTGTTTAGTGTCTACTTGCACAAAGCCACGCTGGACCATAGCACATATATTGAGTATGTAGGGCACATTATTATTTCTCTCTATTGTAACTACAAAAGACTCCTTCATCTCTGTGACCTAAAAAGTATCTGCTGCAAGTGTAGTTGTTTTCTTTTACCTTGTTTTTCTTTTGGTATCTGCTTTTGAAGTAATATGAATCCAGAAGAAATGTTTTGCCTATCAGCAGTCCTTTTGTTCTAGGATGTCAACTTCAACAAAAAAATGTCCATGTGCAGCAAATGAAGTACAATGAACTCTTTAATCTTTGATTTTCACAGGGTTTTCCTTTCTGTCCCCGCTGTGTCAAAATCTGTCATAAAACTCTGCTTTTTGCGGTTTAGGGATGGGTGTTCCCACGGTGACAGCTGCTCGCATACTGAAGGGTCAGCTGAATGGACAGAGCGGAGAAGAGACGCAGTTGGAAATGGACAAGTTCCCTTTTGTATCTTTATCCAAGGTCTGACTAAAGTGCACTATGACACAATGTATTGATCGTGCTTTGGCTATTAATGGCTTCCAGAAAAGGCCTGTGACCGGAAACAAGGCTGTTTAGTGTTTATCATACTGGGTGTGTGTAAGTTATAGATTAAAAAAAGTTAAAATACAAAAATAGGTTGATTATTTATATCTCATTGAATCATCAACAACAATTCACTAAACTATTCATTTTAGATTCTAGAGAATGTAAAAGGATGCATTTCTTTTAGTATTCAATTCAAAAATACCTTTATTATGCTAACCTGATAAAAGTTGCTCTTCTAGTGCTGTGTTTGTGAAATGCATGCTTGAAAAAAATCAGATAAGAAAGAAATTGCAATGACTGCAATGATTCTTAAAAAAATATTTTTCTTACAGTAACATTCTCTAAAAACGGCAGGATATAGAAATTCTCAAGCAATTTTCTAAAGATCTGACTATATATTTTTAACCTGTTTAGATGTAAGAGCCACAAAACTCCCAAAGGGAAGTTAGACAATGCTGAGTTATACCAATGAATTACTGGTTCTGTTCTTTTTTTGAAAAGAAGAAAAGAAAAAAAAAGAAAAACCTTTGCCCCAAACCCAAAGGGCCAAAAAAGGGCAATTAAGAACCCGAAAAAAAATTTAAGAACCCGTAAGAACAATTTAAATAACAAAGTGGTTCCCAATTTAAAATTTAAAAAAAGGTTTGAAAAAAATAGCCTTGAAAATTTTTCATTTTCCAGCTCTAAGCATTACATTGGAAACCATAATTATTTATCTTAGAACATTTTAGAATATTTTTCACAGATAAAGAAAGAGTATTGATGTGATGAATATAATGAGAAGCCTTCAAATTTACATTAAAATATAACCAATAGAATCATTTGTCACCCCAGTAAAGTAGCTAAAATAGTTTGGTTGCTTGAGGGTTAAAAGTGTAAAAGTCTTGAGAACTACACCACAATTACTATATGTTTTCTTTCCTGTGAGCCAAGATTTCTTGTCATTTTTAAAATGGTCATTAGAGATCTTTCTCCTGGCTTTTTCAAGGTAGATGTTTTTCCTTTGGCTGCTTTTCCACATATTTACAGTCCAGTCCTTGCACTTGACCGTGGCAGAAAAAACGGCATCTAGCTCAAGAAATGTGCCTACGAATGACTATTTAACAAAAAACAACTTAAAATGGTTTAAACATTTTAGTACTGGCAGGCTATCACAAAAACACATGATTTGTTCACATTTCTATAGTTGAATCTATGAAAAATACCAAAGAACAACAAGATGATTAACAAAGAGCTGTTAACTGGAAGAAATTTGAGGAATCTGAAGTGAAGGAGAGTGGGAGACCTAAAACAATATTTATAGCAAATGAACAGGATGTGTGATTAAAAAGTCTTGTTCTTAAGAAATGGAACAAAAATCCAGCATAGACCTGACACATATCTTGACAGATGCAGTGGGCCTTTCCGTCTGTACTGTTCACTGAAGATAGAAATTATCTCAGCGGGATGTAGCTGTCAAGAAGCCATTCTTAAGGGAGGAAAAGGCTGGGGGGAAAAGGCTAAGGTATGCCAGATTACAGAAGAGCTGGACTGATAATCAGTGGCAGCAGGTCTGATGGCGTGAAGAATCAAATTTGAGTATTTACAGAGAGGGGTGCAATAGTGAGTGTCTACAGCTACTTGTAAAGTTTGGTGGAGGCTCTGTCGTGGTTCTGGGCTGCATTACAGCTTGGGGATCTTGCTAAAATTGAAAGAATTATGAGAGCAGAAAAGTACAATCAGATTTTGATGCACTGTGCAACACTATTTTTTAGCATGACAATGATACCATTAATACTGACAGTGCAGTAAAACCATACTTTGATAAAAAAGAAAATAACAGTGGAACATTATCAGTGGATTGGAGAACCTCAGAGCCCGGACCTCAACATTATTGAATCAGTGTGGGATCATCTTAACGGGGAACGGAAAAAAAAAAAGTCAACATCAAAAGAAGAGCTTGAAATGTCCTTCAAGAAGCCTGGAGAGCTATTCCTGAAGATTGCTTAAAAAAATTACAAGACAGCAGCCCAAGACAAGAGACCTTCAAGCTCATTAGAATTGTAGACACTCTGGTTTACCTTTATTTGTTTTGTTTTTTTTAAATAGAGCTGTCAGTGCTCATAGTTAATGCTCAAGTTTAAACAAGTCAGATCATATTAACACAAACTCTCCTGCACTGTGTCCCTGCAGACCTACAACACCAATGCACAGGTGCCAGACAGTGCTGGCACAGCCACAGCTTACCTATGCGGGGTTAAGGCCAATGAGGGCACTGTGGGCGTGAGTGCAGCCGCTGTCCGCTCCCAGTGTAACACCACACAGGGCAATGAGGTCACCTCGATCCTTAAATGGGCAAAGGACGCAGGTAGAGTGACAACAAACTTTTCAAAAATGCAGATCATGTTACTAAGTTCATCCAGCCGTGTTAAGCACAAGGGTCAGTGGGGATTGTGTTAGGCTCGCATGTGTATTTTTTGGGGGATGATTGAAAACCATGGAGCACCACAAGGCTAACACAAAGACACAGGCAAACATTGATTCTGATATCCACAACCAGCGTAGAATCATCAACAAACCTAACATGCATGTCTGTGGACTAGAAAGTAAATATGCAGTTTTTTTCTCCTCCCTTAAGTGGTTTCACCTGCATAATAAGTTAAATATTGATCAGCCTAGAGAAGCATGTCTAAAGTCTCATCAGTAACTACCTTTACTAGGTATCCTAACAACAAAGCTCAAAGTTTATATGAGTATTAACCTTTGCACTTCAAACACTCAACACTCACACTAGCAAACAAACAAAAAAAAAAATGCACCACGGAAGAGGAGCCAGATGTGTGGTGTGAATGAGTGCTACAGTATGGCGGTGGTGGGGATAAGTTTAAAGCTCTTACTCAGTCTATGGTGTATGCTTAGGTTGGCTGGTCTGCTTGGTCATGTCATAGACTCAGCCACTAGTAAAGTCTTATTTATAATGCTGTTCTTGACTTAATCCCATTTTACTTACTGACTTATGTTCATCAGCGAATTGTGGGAAGTTACTGTCCTGTAGGTCTCAGGGTTCATTATTTCTGTCTGTGAACAATAGTTAACAGCTAAAACTTTATAAGCTGGTCTGATTTAATGAAGTTAAGGTGATTTTTAAATGGCTTGGATGCAGTTGCTGTTCATCAGGCTGCAAACGTTTTGGCTTAATATTATTACTTTTGTTTCTGGCATTACAAGATATACTTGTTCTGTATTGACATTGATTTCTGTGTTTTACTTTAATCACCTATACTTTACTGGTTTATGGATGGTTCACAGGTCACAGACAATAAGAGAGCCAATCATTCCTCTGGGAACATGACAGGCAGTATTTGACACCCTGTTTCCAGTAGATCTAAATGACTTTTTATACCATAATTAATAATTAAGGTGTAAATTGTGTAATTTGTTTACCACTGATTTCCCCCCCTCCCCATACAGTGGCATCCAATTTTTACCAATGCAGATACAAAACAACTGACCCATGATTTTATTCCACTGCTGCACTGAAAGGACTCACCGAACATATAGATGGAAACGTATCCTTAAAAGGTTATTTACATATCTGAGGGGTTTCTCAATATCCATGTTTGTTTACAGGAAAGTCAGTGGGCATAGTGACAACAACACGCGTCAACCATGCGACTCCTAGTGCTGCGTACGCACACTGTGTGGACAGAGACTGGTACTCTGACAATGAGATGCCAGTAGAAGCACTGCAAGCTGGCTGCAAGGATATCGCCAGACAACTGTTTGAAAACATTCCCAACATTGATGTAAGTGAAAAGTAGAGAATCAGATTAAACCTGAAGATTAATTGATCGACTATCTGTGGACGTTATTAGCAGCTCCAGTATCCAGACTGTGGTTCGTTGGTTTATCACTTTATTCCACTCTGAAATTCATTTTTTCTAACAACTGAATGATTGTCATGAAACATATTTCAGACATTCACTGTCCAGAGATCCAGAGTCCAGTCTAGTGAAGGTCACATTTATTGCTTATAGCTGAATATCCTTATAAACTTTTGATTTGATTGCCATAAACTAGTGCAGACATCAATGATCCTAATATCACTGATGTTTGCACTGTTCTATATTTCAAAAATATTCTTTATCTGTTTTTACTGTGACCAAAGAGCTGCAACACAAATGGCATGCACACCAAATGAAGGAACTCAGCCTAAAACTGATAGAAATAACACTTATTATTTGAATAAATGCCTATGAAGTGCCAGTGAGGTAACACGATGGTGGTTGAGTCGCTTCTCTCTGTTTGTTGCAAAACTTTGTCTTTGTCAAAGTTTTGCAATATTTATACGATCTGCACGAATAAAAACCAAGCGTCTTTTGTGACATTCCTGGATAAAATGGAAACATGTGCTACAGCTGCAGACTGTCAGTTGCACTTTCATGTGCTACCTCATGTGAAAAGCGAAATACTAAGTGGCGAAATACTTTTGTTATTGCGGGAAATACACTGTTTGTCAATGAGCAAGTACACAAATGTACACATCTACACGAAGATATTTAAAACGTTTGGAACTTGTTTAGCGTAATCTCGTACTAGTGCTTGACATGCTTGCAAAAGACATTCTTAATCTCGCACATTTCCCTTCCTGGTTAAATAAAGTTCTTTGTTTTGAAGATTCAGATTTGCATGGATGTTAGCAATGAGCTAGAAATGTGCTTTAATATTCTCATAGAGCTTCCTCCCCTGTTTGCTGCTTAATTTGAAGTTCTAGTCAGGCAAAGGAAGTTACAAATTGATAGCGTCGTTGAGCATTAGCACTGTGTTTACGAGCCAACAGTAAATGTTTGATATGATGGTTTCTTACACAGGACATGTTTTTATTTGGTCCCCAAAAAAACTGTGATTAAGATTATCTATGTTGTTTTTTTTTTAAATCAGGTGATTATGGGTGGAGGAAGGAAGTATATGTTTCCCAAAAACATGTCGGATGTAGAGTATCCTAATATTTTGAAGCAGAGTGGCACACGGAAAGATGGAAGAAACCTGGTGCAGGAGTGGGTTGACAGAATGAAGGACAAAGTAATTTTTCCTCTTTTGTTTCTCTTTGCTCTTCTTGTTTCCTCGTTTCCTCTTTATCTACCTAATTGCATTTTCATATTCTTAAATTCAAAGTGACTCCATTTGTACCACCAAAACTGTTCTGTACCTTTTTCTTCTTTTTTTTGTTGCAGAAAAAACATTATGTATGGAACAAGACGCAGCTCTTATCCCTAAACCCCAACAACGTGGATTACTTACTGGGTGAGTCTCAGTCTCATTATGACAGTTTCATTGAAGTTTTAATAAAGAGCCATATGCATTTGCTTTTACTGCAGGCTTATTTTCTGTGTGTAATACCTTGTTACACATTGAGCTGTGCCCTCTGGTATTCCAGGTCTCTTTGAACCTGGGGATATGGCATATGACTTGGAGAGGAACACTGAGAGTGATCCTTCACTGACAGAGATGGTGGATGTGGCTATCAAGATCCTAAAAAAGAACCCCAGTGGATTTTACCTGCTTGTAGAGGGTGAGTTTGAAGCCTCTGTTATGGTACAATTACACAGTTGTTGTTTTTTTTTTGTTCTTGTGCTGATTTCACCAAGACTTAGCAGACCTCCCATTCACTCCCTTTTAACTATAAAAGGGAGTGCTTTTATAGTTAAAAGCACTCCCTTTTATAGTTAAAAGGGAGTGCTTTTATAGTTAAATTTGGTCTTCATAACCAGTGTTTGGGTCATTATTTACAAAAACTAATGTTTCACACATTTCTAGTTACTTTACTTTATAGTAATGAAGTATGTTCATTAATTACTTACTGGGAAAAGTCAATTTTACTCTTACCTTATTCCATAACATAACTTGAAATGCATTTTCATATAATTGAAGTGAATAAGTGAAGTTCAGAGTTTGGCTGCTGGGCTGGCGTTAACAGACACTGGACATTAACACACTAGCTAGCTCAACTTTACCGTTGTAGCCTTACCAAGTTGTCCTTTTGCGCAATAAAAGCAAACGTAATGTCTGTATCTCCACACCTCAAACCTCCGATTGCACCACCCTTTTCTTCCTCCTTGTATAATGACTAACATCAGCTGATTGTAGCACAAGTGCACAAGAAGAAAAAGATATGTTTGATGTGTTTTTCTGCCTATTGTGCAGAACATTTGTAATGCAAGTACATAATTGTATCTGCAGTGCGGTTACTGAATTTAGTACGGTAACGCATTAATAACTTTTACTGAAAGACATAATGTGGTTACAGTGACGCATTACCGTACCTGTGTTTCCTCATCAGGAAAACATAGTTTTGTTTGTGGTTTGCTTTTGCATCCATGGAGCATGAAAATCAAATCCTGGAGAGGAAAATTGTAGCTGCATCAAACGTACAAGCTACTATTTAGTAAACTGAAACAGTATGTGAGATATTTTTAACATTTCCAAAATCTTATTATGTACTTAAATACTGGTTGTTTCCCTTTGCCAGGCATATATTATATTTTAGAATCTTATTAGTATGTAGCTCATATCAATTGAGGTCAGGTCACTTTGCAAATGTTATCCATCTTTAACCATCTGGAAGTGTAGAAGCTAGTAATGAATTCATAAATGCTGAACAATAACATATATATTGAGTACACAGAGTATACTAAGAGATTTCAGAAGCAGATTCAGTCTCTTATTAGCTCCTAGTAAAACATTCTTCAAACCATTCATTTTACAAAGTGAAACAGGAAGAACTGAATTTGGGGGGTTAGGTCTGTTTTTCTGCTTTGTTGTCCTGTGCTAGCTTTGATTTGTTCACTTGTGCTGGATCGCCATTTGTAGTTCTTGGAGAACACTTCAGTGAGCCAGAGTTTTCTATAATGGAGAACTGAAACTCATGGTTATCTTAAACTCTACAAAGGGCCTTACATATTTGATCTACTGGCTTTCTTTGTGAAGCCATGACCTGGCTGTGTTGTGGTCATGTAGACCCTGTATCAACCTGGAAAAGTGTGAATAACAGTTGACAATAAGGGCAGGGTGTTTTGTGTTTAGCAAAACTGTTCCTTAGCCAGAGGTCTTTCTTTTTTTTAATCACGCAGCATACTGATATGTTGTGTTCCCATGGAAACAACATTTCACCATTTCAACATTTCCTATTAAAAACCACAAACTATTCTCTCTCTTCTCCCTTCTTAATAAAATTGGAACCTGACCTTAAAAATTCACCACAGAGCACCGAATTTCATTAACAGGTCAAAAAGAGCAATTTACTGACCTAAGCCACATATATATACATCATATATATACTGTAGTGATATAGTTTTCTCACTTTTAATAACATAATTTGGTAACATAATTAAAAAAACTAAAACTATAGTAAAAAACTAAAATTATAAATTATATTATAACATAAGCCATCTTACAACTGAAAACAAACCAATCAATCAAAATCCTGTTCCAACAATTTTCTGCAGTATTTTGGTCTTCTCATCATCATCTTTGTGTTTGCTGTGTAGTACTGAGAATATATTCTGAGGACAATATTAAAACAGATTGTATGGTAGCCTACATGATATTGTAACTTTGAATGTAATCTGATTATGCTGCATAAATACTTTGTAGGGGTTGTAAATCAACCATGATAGCGCATCTGACATCTTGTAGCATCTTCTTAAATTCAGTTGTGTAAATCCACCAAGAGAAGCAGCAGAGGTCAGTGGATCACAACCTATAGGAAAAAAAACTACAAGCAATCTTTTGAAGCCTGTACTATGCTGGAATTATTTATATAAGCATTTATATAATAATTTTCTTTAAGTAGAGTGTTTATTGAGCCTTCTGATTCCCAAAAAGTTGAGTCTGTTCATCTGGCCGTAGTGTTTTCAGTGGGAGAAACGTTTCGTCACTCTGAATGGCTGAACCTAGCCCACTGAATGAACAATGGGCTGTGAGGTCAGTTCTTTGATCATTAATATGCAAATTGTCATGACCATTGATCAATAACCACTGATCAATGGCCATGAGTACCATTCACAGAGAGTTGGGGAATGGCTGCAATCACAGCATTGTAAGATGGTAACAGATGTACCCTTAGGCCCCGTCCTCGATTCAGAGATGGTCTTTCCCTTTTCACATAAATGGCCTCCTTGACTGCCCGCTCAGACCAGCGATCCTCCCTGTCCAGGATGTGTACATCCTCATCACTCAAAGAGTGTCCACAGGCCCGTAGGTGTGAATAGACTGCGGAGTCCTGACCTGACGAGTTGGCTCTTCTGTGTTGCATCATCCGCTTCGCCAGAGGTTGTTTGGTTTCCCCGATGTATAAATCCGGGCAATCCTCCTGGCACTTACCAGCGTACACTATGTTACTCTGTCTGTGTCTGAGGACCCGATCCTTGGGGTGGACCGATTTTCGGCACAGCATTTTTTAGGGGTTTAAAAGCCACAGAAGAGCAGTGTTTAGAAAAAATGCATCTCAACTCTTCCACTACTCCTGACACGTACGAGATCACTACGGGTTTTCGCTTAGGCAGCAGTTGTCTTTCTCTCCTGGATCGGCTGGAGCTTTCTTAGGATCCTTCCCAGCTTTGACAAATGTCCAGCTGGGATAACCACATTTACTCAGGGCATTCTGAATCAGTACTTAAACTGAGTATTTTTAACACAAGTATTTGCACTACTTAAGTGAAGAATGTGTATACTTTCGTCACCTCTGGTTAGCTTGCATTAAGAGAGGTTTTTGTTAGATACCAGACCATCTGAAATAGCTTCCTCCACATCTTTATAGAGATAGCAATACTGGGGAGTGATTTCACAGTTTTAGCCAGTTTTTTCAACTTTATGGAGCAACTGGCCAAGTTTACAAAACAGAGAATATAAGCAGGGCTTCAAAGTCTCTCCCAAGATGCCCTTTGTCATTCCTAAAGCAGCTGCATTGCCATTTTTTGGACAAACAAATCTGGCTCAATTACATGTTATACAAACCACTCTGAGGTCATGTTAGCCTAACTGTAAATATTTACACCAGGAGGACGTATTGACCACGGACACCATGAAGGCAAGGCCAAGCAGGCTCTTCATGAAGCTGTGGAAATGGACCGGGCTATTGGCCGGGCAGGTCTTTTGACCAGCGACCATGAAACGCTGACCATAGTTACTGCTGACCATTCTCACGTATTCAGCTTTGGAGGCTACACAGCCAGAGGAAATACAATATTTGGTATGTAATGACAAGCATATGTTAGATACTGTACAGCTGAAGTGGAGAACTTGCAGTTCTTTACATTACGTCTGGTTCTTCCACAGGTCTGGCTCCCATGCTGAGTGATGTTGATCAGAAGCCCTTCACCTCGATTTTGTATGGAAACGGACCAGGTTACAAAGTTATCAATGGCGCGAGGGAGAACGTCTCTGCTGTTAAGTATGGTAAGTAAAAACATTTTATTCACATTGATTCAGAATAATGATAAGATAGCGCTTGTTATTTGGGCAGTGGTCAAAGGCAGAGACCATGGTGGTTCAATACCCGGCTGCTTAAACTGACTTGCAGTTCTACCTGGTGATGAAGAGACCCCAAGATATAGTTGGGCTTACCTCAGTGCTTGTGGAACTAGTCTACTGGAGGATGGCTAGACTTTATTCCACTGTAGAATCACCCACGGTGTGAGGCACTGAGCAGGGTGGGTGTACTTGGAGCGTGTGTGGTGTGCTTTTTCCTGGTAACCAAAATAGGGGTGTTTAACTAGGGTTTCAGGTTTGTTAACACTCAGACATTGAGCATATGCTCAGAGTACCTGAGCTTCTTGGTGTCCTTGCAGGACACTGAAACATGGAGGGATATCACTGGGAGTTAGTCTCTATCATCCCCATGCGAGTTAAAAATAATAATGACTGCCTGCATCTTTTGTCTCTGTCTCTTCCTTTCAGAGGGAAACAACTACCAGGCCCAGGCAGCCGTACCGCTGAACGCGGAGACTCATGGAGGAGAGGATGTGGCTGTGTTTGCGAAAGGTCCCTTGGCTCACCTCCTACATGGGGTCCACGAACAAAACTACATCCCCCATGTAATGGCATATGCAGCCTGTATCGGGCAGAACAGGGAGCACTGTATGTCACCCAGCGGGTCAGCTGGATTACGGCCAGCCTTCTCCATTGTTGCAGTCATTCTCTCAGCTGCGGGACTTTTGTGCTGACCTTTCCCAGACACCCAACGCTGTTAATGCACTCACTTTAACCACTCATTTAAAGATTTTAATTTGATGATATTGCTTTATTATTTTTTAATTTGTCTCTCCAGTATTTTAAATATGGGACCACTTTTAGACACGTTTATTTTTACGACAATTAACTGACAAAAGTGTAGCGGATAACTAAACAAAATAATCAACTCACTGTGATGCACTGATTTTTTTTTAAAGGGTGCTGTGGCAGAGATCATTGTGAATTGTGAGATTTCAATTGTGATTTTTCTATTAACTAAGGATTTTCAGACTCGTTCGTCGTCCTTTTTTAATGCAGCCTGTCTCTGTTTAAATAGACTGAATTTGCAAATGTCTGAATTTCTTTCATATTTTAAATGTGCATTTAACAGTCTACCTCACAAGCTTTCAAAGATATGTTCACAATTTGAAGAATTATTATAATTTGTTTTTTTGCCAAAAGAGGCAAATGAATGTATAATTGACGATACATTAAGATCATTTTTTGTCATGCATGTTTTTTTTTGCATAATTGCAAAAAAAAAAAAAAACCTGAAAAAGAAAAAAGGAAAATCCCACCGATGGTTCTGTCCAAATACAAGTTTTTAAATCTCAAATTCAATGAATGAAATGTGTCTGTTTTTCTGTCAATCTTGTTAACAGTTTTGGTGGAACAAACATGATTAAGTTTTCTCCTTTTGCCCCCATTCTCTGCCCTTCAGCTATATTTTTCCTCCAAATTTTCATTACAGCACTCTTTTCACTGACCGCTTCAAGCATTTCAGCAGAACAATACTAAAGTCAGATTTATTTACATGTAACCATTTTTACAAAACAAAAAATGAAAAGCAGGCAACAGTGACATATGAGAAAAATTATATGTTTTAGGATGAAAAGGGACAAATTTTCATAAAATGTAATATATCAACACAAAGTAAAAACATTAAAAAATTTCAAACATTTTGTCTCACATCTGTCCAAAAAAAACCCCTCTCGGCCACCATCCTTTTTAGGTCATGTCATGCATGTGTGTTGTACCTTTCCATCTGCTTTGTGGTGGCTTGTGTGGAATGTGGGTGTATTGAAGCCATTAATTGCTTGGCATCGTGTGGTCACTGGGAAAACAGGGGAATCATGTTGACTGAAGCATGAAAAAGGAGGTTTAGTCTAAGCAGGTATGAAATGAAGTCCTCATGTTGTTAGCAGTACTTTCTTAATATCAGGACTGAAAATGGCTTATTTAGGCCCTCAGGAAACATGTCATGATTTCAAGTTAACTTGCTCTACTGGTTTATCTTCTTTTCCTCTTCCCAGCTACACATCATTCTGCCATCCCACTTTATCGTTTCTGTTCTCCATTTAGAGAGAGATAGCGTCAGACTGTATATTATGAATATCAAAAAGCCCTGAGTATGCAACTTAACTCACTGATTTTGATGAAATGGTTTTTCAAATACAAAGCACTTGGGGGTGTCTCGTGCATTTGATTCCAGTTGTCTTGTCAGGTTTTTTCCATTCAGTCAATGAGCAACAAAGCAAGCAGTGAAGGTGAAAGAAAGTAGTCAATGTCATGTCTCAGCTTGAATTTCCATGGAAATGCTCGGATCTTAATAGATGTGCAGTTTTCTCAGGCAAGTCATCACCTCTGCTGAGTTCATATTACAACACCACGTTTAAATTCATAAAACTTTCAGTTACACTGTAATTTTCAGTGTCATGCCTCTTCTCATGGGGCCTCTCCCTTTGGCACAACCAATAAGTGTCTACTTTTAGTGTATGTCAGTTTACATTTGCCTGACCAAAGGTTTTATATAGTCTGTAGACATGGTTAAGATGCCCTGCTGAAGCTGAAACGGAGCATCAAAATGGGGAAGAATGATGATTTATGGGCTGGTCTGAGTATTTCAGAAACTGCTTACCTTCTGGAATATTTTCCCTCAACTGCCTCTAGGGTTTACAAAGAAAAAGGGAAAATATCCAGTGAGCGGCAGTTCTTTGGGGAAAATGCCTTGCTGACGCCAAACGTCTGAATGGTGTGACTGCTATGAGCTGACAGGAAGCCAACAGTAACTCAAATAACCACTCACTGCAATCAAGGTGTGCTAAAGACCATGTACTAAAGATGCCACTCCTGACAGCTAAGAACAGGAAACCAAGGCTACAATTCACATGCACTCAACAAAATTGGAAGATTTAAAAAAACGTTGTAAATGAACTGGTTCTTAAATAGTGCTTTATACAACTTGCTTAATTCACCCATCTACACAGGCACTTTTTTCTATGGTTTTTCCATATAAATGCGTTCTATCTAACATTTACACACATTCCTGCTCTCACGGATGGATCAGTGAACAACTTGGGGATAGTATCTTGCCCAGGGATATTTGACATGCAGACCAGGGATCGAACCACTAGCCTTCTGATTAGTAGATGACCTGCTCTGTCTGGTCTGATGAGTCTCAAGTTCTGCTGCAACATTCAAATGGTATGGTCAGAATCTGGGGTAAACGACAAGAAAGCATGGGCCCATCATGCTTTGTTTCAAGAGTCCAAGTGGATGGTGATGTTGTAGTGGCGGAGGGGTTATTTTCTTGGCACACTTTGGTTTGCCTAAATACCAACTGAGCATAATTTAAAGGCCGTAGCCTGTCTGAATTTTGTTGCTGATAACAGTGTTGCTAATGGCTACTTCTAGCAGGATAATGCACCATGTCACAAAGCTCTAATCATCTCAACCTGAAGACAGTGAGTTCATTGTACTCAGTCCAGTAGAGCACCTTTGTACAGTGGTGAAACAGGAGATTTGCACCATGGATGTTCAGCTGACAAATCTTCATCAACTGTATCAGTATGGACCAAAATCATGAAGCAATGTTTTCAGCACCCTTTGGGAATCTTTAGCACAAAAAAATAAAATCAGTTCTGTGAGCAAAAAGGGGCTCCAACACTGTACTAGCAAGATGTACCTAAAGTAATCATCTATAAGTGACATTCCTCAGGCACCCTACACAATCTTCCACTAATCATGAAGTACCATGGACATTTTTTTCTAAAATAAATAAATAAAATAAATAAGAAAGGAAATAAGAACTAGATCGAATTTTAGGAATTACTATACAGCCATTCATTGGCCTGTTAAAAACACTTTATTTACTGATTGCCTGGAGTTCACCATGAGTAAATGAGGTCAAAGGAGCTTGCAAAGAAAAGCGTCTGGACTTCTTTAAGTTACTTGAAGACGTTTCACCTCTCATCCGAGAGGCTTCTTCAGTTCTAAGGTCAAATG